GAAAACTCAAAAGGAAGACATCCCTGGGCATTCCTCCCATTTAGCGGTGGGCTTCGTAGTTGTCCAGGTAATTTGTTGCCGCTATCTATCCTGACATCATCAATTATCAAATGAATTATTTCGTTCTAGGATCAAAATATGGTATGATCTGCATCAAAGTCATAATTGCTCAGATGGTTCGGCATTATCAACTGGAAACAACTCTGAAATACGAAACTCTCAACATTCATGCCCACATATCCACTCGCTCCATAGACGGATACCCCATAAGTTTGAAGAAGATCAATTAATCCAATTAATTGAAAAAATACGTCATTGAAATTACACTTTCTCATTTTCCTGCAGTGCCAAACTGTAATATATTTAAACAATAAATGAGACTTATTTACTATAATTTTTTACTAGTCGTTGAATATATTCGAATTCTTCAAATGATCGATTACTCTCCCACTAATTAGTTTCGAAGAACAATCTAATTAAAGCCAATATGTCGGTACTTAAATAGGTACCTTAAATCCACCTATCCATCTTTATGTGAATTTTATACAAGGAAAAATCTCGGATTATTTTCTCAAATTTTGTTGATCCCTCTCTCGAATATTATATATTAATAGTTTCTTCCCACATAACGTCAGAAAATCTAGAAAGCCGCTCATTTTTTCGCACCACGAAGCAAATAATAAATGAGCGACTGAGGCAGATGTGAAAAAATTGAGGATAAAAAGTTGGGAGCAGTACCTTGAGACATGAACGCAAAACTTCTTTGTCGACCATTACTATGCACAAAACAATCTCCCCCATAAATATAGATATTTTTAGACCTAGAAACTTCAATCTAACATTTTCCAAAATTTATTCCATTTCCGCGAGCTTCTTCCCCGATAATTAGGAATGTTAAAACATTGTGAGAGACCAATAATTGGTAATTCAATGACTAATGGTCTGTTATATATGTGTAGCGAAGACTATTGCAAATTCCATGTAAAGAATGTTGTGTCTTCATTGAAAAATTATAATGAAGTTTTTAATCAAGCCAACGTGCGTGGTTGGAGCAAGGTTTTTTTCGATTGACATCGAGAGTATAAAATCAGCAGTGTCTCGACATCTCTTATATCTCCGTGACCTAGACCATTTGTTAAACCTCCATTCCTTCATCCTTTTTTTATCCTTCCAAAAATGGGGTGGTTATCTCTGGACAGTAATTTAGTGGGATCTTTAAATTCTGTATTTGCGGGTAAGTAAAAGTGAAGTTAATCCAAGGAAAACTAAGTGTTTTTTTACTTTAAGTGGTTTTTTAAGTGTTGGATTTATTTGTCGTTGCAGCGTGGCTATTGGGGGGGATATTAATCCTCGCCTTAATTCATCGACGAAAACAAATCCATGAATTTTTTATGTTCCAAAAGAAAATAAGGGAATTCTCGGCTGCATTACCCTCTGTCTCAGGAACGCTACCCTTTCTCGGACATGCTCTACACTTCAAGGACTCTGACAGTAAGTTTAAATTTTCATTCGATATCGGAAGGAAATCCAGGAATACATCACCTTCCAGAGGGAAATTCGAAAATGCTCGGCTTTACTACCCCGATCCTCCGGAATTCCATTGGTCGGAAATGCACACCAATTTTCGACGCGGGTAGTACGTAAAATTTTGGAAAATCTTACACGCGTTAAAAATGCGTTTTGAGATTTACCACGATGATAGATCGCGATGGACATCGCATTCCGAGCCTAGCTTGAGTTTGAGAAAAAAACAACATTTAGTGAAAGCTCGATAAAAATATTTGAGTATTATTAAAACAATTGTCATCATCACGTCATGGTAATTTTTACAATAAACTTTTTAACGTGCATTGTTTCAGAATCGATTTTTGTCCTCGCGAAAATGAGCCAAGCTACCAATGTTGGGACTTTCACAATTTGGCTGGGACCGATAATGAAAGTTATCGTAACTGATCCGAGGGATTTTGAGGTAAAAGATGAAACCTATTACACAATGAAAAAAGCGAACGTAAATAAAAATAAAATAATTTTCTAAAAATTTTATTTCCGGCCTTCGGAAACATCCTCTAGAATTGGAGTTCCGTTTTTTTGTGTGATATTTGGGGAAGCGCCCAAACTCTTTGTTTGATTAAAGACAAAATCGATTGAAAATTTATCTCCTGATTTATTATTAGACTGCCGATTTAGTCATTATGATATAATAATTATTATATTTCGAAATTTTATTCAGATTATAATGGGAAGTGCGAAGGCAGCTGAAAAGGATACCGTCTACGATTTCATGAAGCCGGCAGTTATCAATAGTCTCATAAATGGGGG